CCAGTACCAACCTCCTCAACCACTGCCTCCAATCGGGTGTAGCACACACTTATCAGTGCTCTGGTCCCCTGCTGCCACTCCCACTCAAGTACAGAGACCCTACATCAAGACCTACAGGCCGATTACTGACTCTGCAGTACGCCTCTTTGGACAGTGGATAGTTCACTATCCCTGGACTGAAGTACTCAGCGTGGATGACGTGGAAACCAAATGGATAAATTATACCAACACCACCACCGAAGCTCACCACCACTTCTTCCCCGAGAAGTCCGTCAGATCTCACCCAGCTGACTTGCCCTGGAACACACCTCGGATCAAAAGACTCATGCAACAGAGAGACAGAGCCTTTCATCTCAATGACCACATCCGCTACAGGTCACTTCGCAACAGAGTCATCCGCGAAATACGCACTGCAAAGAAGTCCCACTACCCAACCAAATTACAACACCTGAAGCAGACCAACATCAGTCAATGGTATGGTAAGCTTAAAGAACTCTGTGGACTAAACAATATGACACATCCCCTCCCCTTCCTCAGCCATCTCACTAATGTTGACGCAGCTGAGCAAACAAATAACCATTTCGCTACTATATGCCAGACGCTCCCACGGCTTGACACAACCACTCTCCCTGCTTACCTACCAGCCCCCTTCCCACTGACTTAGTAGAGGAATTTGACGTAGCAAAACGCCTGGACAAACTAAAATTAAAACGCTCTACCACCCCCATTGACTTACCAATGAAACTATTCAAGGAGTTCTCCCCGGAGCTTGCTAAACCCCTCTGCTCCATCATCAATGCTTCTCTCAGTCAAGCCAGATGCCCAGCTGACTGGAAGACCTCTTATGTATCACCAGTGCCCAAGTCAACCAGCCCACAATCCTTAAATCAGCTACGACCTATTGCAATCACCCCAATACCCAGCCTAATCTGTGAAAGTTTTGTGTTTGACTGGGCTTATGCTGATATTGCAGGAGTCGTAGACCCTCAGCAATTTGGCAACATGAAAACTTCCTCCACCACTCACTGTCTTGTCAGCTTTCTCGATTACATATACCGCCATCTCGAGAAACGAAAAACGTCTGTAGCTGTCGCCTTCATTGATTTCACTAAAGCGTTCGACCTAGTCGACCACAATATAATCATAAACAAAGCTATTGACCTCGGGCTTCGGAGAAATCTCATACCATGGCTTACAGACTTCCTCAGTGACCGACGCCAAGCTGTACGCTTCCGAGGGGCTGTCTCCACCTTTCAGTCACTCACCTGTGGCGTCCCCCAAGGCACCAAGATGGGACCACTCTGCTTCCTTATGCTCATCAATGATGCCCTAAGAGAAACCCCTGCTCGCTGGAAATATGTCGACGACTCCACCATTGGGATCAGCGTCAACAATTCTCCTCCCAACTATACCGCCCTTCAGGATTTATTGAACAGTCTCCAAAACTGGGCCACCAACAACCATGTCACCATCAACCATACCAAGACCATGGTTATGCACATCAACCTCTCCTCCGACATTGTCCCACCTCCTTCCATTACCCTAGGTCCGAACACACTCCAGGTTGTAGATTCCACGAAGCTCCTCGGCGTCACCATAGACAACAAACTAAATTGGAAACCACACGTCAGTGAAGTTGTCAAATCCTCCAGTTTCCGTCTCCACCTCCTCCGCCGACTCAAGTCCCTCGGAGTTCCCGCACACGAGCTCCTCAGTGTATACACAACATTCATACTTCCCAAGCTCACCTATGCCTCCCCCACCTGGTCTTCCTCTCTAAATGCCACACAACGTAAACACCTAGAAAAAGTGCAAAAGAGGGCATGCAAGATTATTCTCTCCCCTTCCTACACCACATATCAAGAAGCGCTCAACACACTGACCCTTTCGACTCTCACTGACCATCACCACGGCCTCATCTGCAAATTTGGTAAGAAGCTTCTACACCATCCCCGACACCGGCCCCTACTACCACCTGAGATCCCCTGTCCGAGAATTGCTGTTCGACACCACAACCGCATCCAGCCCATACGTGCACGAACTGATCGCTATAAGAACAGCCCAGTCCCAACCATTGTAAAAATTATCAATAACATGTAATAAATCAGTGTATTCACTCCCAGTAAACACTGCTCCCTACACTGTCACTATGTTGAAATGAACTGTAGTTTGAGCTGATCCCCATCTAAGTTACTATACATCTAAGTTACTATATGTCTTATTTGTGTCACTTATGTCACTTGTATATTATTTGTAATTCGTAACCCATTCCCCAAATATGTAACTGTATATTTTCAGCCTTCTGGCTGCCAAGCTCTTTCAATAAACCGTTAATTATTATTATTATTATTATTACACACAGTAAACTTTCTCCCACTCTCTAACACACACGGCCGTGCCAAGATAACCTCCACCCAGGCTGCATCAAGATAGCGTCTCGCCTCGGTGTGTCTTACAAGGTCGAACGAAGGATTTGGCGTTAACGGGAATTTTGTATCTAGGTTAGGTTCGGTTGTATCGAGGTTAGGTTTATGTCGGGGTTAGGGTTCGTTAGGCTAGGTTGTATCTAGGTTTGGTTAAGTTAGGTTGTATCGAGGTTAAGTATCATTACGTTATAGATACTAACTCGGCTCCGGGTCTCAGTTCGTGCATCACAATCTATATTCATGACGGCGGAGATAAACTGACCAGAACTAATAGTGTTGGTTTAAGTTTGGTGAGTATTGTGTCGCGCGATGCGGTTCACTGTGCATGCGTACTGAGAATTTGGCCCGCGAGTGAGGTCTTGATTTTACTCTTAACCTAATCTCGATATAACCTAACCTAACCCGATCCTAAGAAAATTAACGGCCATATTATTAAACAACATCTACCCCTTCCAACGAAGAATCTTTTCGAAGGTATTGTTCCATCAAGCGGCATTTTTAAATGCTCGAACCTCTTCCACTTAGTGCGGGATGATTTTATTTAGGTCTGGTAATACTGTCTCCTTCGCTGATGCATTATGGGTGTTTGTTTACCTTTGTTGGCGCCATGTTTAGTATTGTAGCAGCTCTCGTCAGGGATATGTTTACCTTCAAAGTCTCCCTACTTTTACTTTTATCCTCTTCGCCACTGATCGGCTTGTTAGCCGCTTGGGCGATCGGTCACGACTCTTTTCCTTTATATTCTTCACCAAAAGGTCGGCTCGCTAGCCGCCCGGGCGATCGGTCACGTCTCTGTCACGCACTGTTGGCAAATACCGGGCATGCACCGGCTCCTGAATGTACCTGAACCCGCTCCAGTGTTGGTCAAGTCCTCTCTTGAAAGAGCTCACACTCGGTGCCGTCACAACACTTTCTGGTAGATTGTTCCAAGAGTTTACAACCCTCACTCCGAAAAAGTTTGCCCTCACGGTTTTCCGGACTTGCGGCTTCTTCAATCTTGAGCTGTGACCCCTTGTGGGGCGAGCGTCCGCCAGCTCCAAGTAAGGACACTCAACTGAGTAGTGCCCCCTGAGATGCTTATAAACCTCAACTAGGTCCCCCCTTGCCCGTCTGTAGTATAAGCTAGGCAAGTTCAGGCGCTCCAATCTCGCAGGGTAGCTGAGATGCCGAAGTGCAGGCACCAGCTTGGTGGCCCTCCTTTGAACATTTTCAACCAACTGACAGTCCCTAGCATATCTCGGGGACCAGATGGGGTGACAGTACTCCAGATGGGGAAGCACTTCACTCCTGAAGATCGTCACGAGGGACGGACCGTCTAGATATCTGAACGACCTTCTTATAAGACCCAATAATTTATTTGCCTGATTTACCTTCTTCTCACAATGGCCCGAGAACTTCAGCTCATTGTCAACATACACACCTAGGTCCTTCTCACACACAGTCTCAACTAGTACATTTTCTTCATCCCGTTGGGACATATGGTACGCCTCCTTACCGTTGGTACGCCCCAGGTGCATCCTCTTACACTTCGTGACATTGAATCTCAGCAGCCATTCCTTCGACCATTCCTGGAGCCCACAGAGGTCCTTCTGCAGCTCTTCACAGTCCGCTTGGTTCTTAATTTCCCGAAATAACTTGGCGTCATCGGCAAACATTTGTATGGAGGAGTGTACAACGTCAGGCATATCATTTATGAAACAAACAAACAACAGCGGGCCCAATACACTACCCTGCGGTACCCCACTTGTTACAGGTACAGATGACGATTTCGTGCCATTAATCACCACACATTGCTTGCGGTCATGTAGAAAGTCTTCTATCCACGCTAGGACATTTCCCCGAATTCCGTACCCTTCCAGTTTGATTTTCAGCCTTTCGTGGGGTACACTGTCGAAAGCCTTGGCAAAATCTAGGTAAATATTGTCGATATTACCACCCCGTTCTAGAATATGGGTCCAAATATCCAATACCTTGAGCAATTGTGTCAAGCAAGAGCGCCCCGGCATAAAACCGTGTTGGCAATCTTTTACAAGGTTGTTTCGTAGTAGATGTTCCATCGCTGCATCTCTGATAATACTCTCAAGTACTTTACATATTATGCTGGTCAGGCTCACCGGTCTATAGTTGTTCGTGGAGTGCCTATCGCCCTTCTTGAAGATAGGACTCACATAAGCCACTTTCCATTCACTGGGGACCATTTGTTCATCCAGGCATTTACAAAACAGAATCTTCAGGGGCTCTGCAAGCTCGTTGCACAGCTCCCTTAGCACTCTAGGATGCACCATGTCAGGTCCAGGACTCTTATGGACCTTTAGCCTGGACAGTTTATTTCTAATACCCTCTTCTGTGAACACAATGTGGGTCAGTGCTGTGTCGAACCGTCTGTCCTCAAACGCAGGAAGGTTAGTTGCATCCTCTCTTGTGAACACTGAGGAAAAGAAGCTGTTCAATGCCTCAGCTTTATCCTGGTCAGAATCTGCGTAACTACCATCTTCAAGCCTCAGGTCTGATACTCCTACTCGCGTTTTCAATTTCGACTTTGCATAGCGGTAAAACGCCTTTGGGTTTGACTTGACCTCGCGTGCAACCAGCCTTTGGAACTCCTTTTCAGCCCTCCTACACTCTATCTTTGCTTGGTTTCTGGCTCCCGGGCAAGTCCCATATCACAGAGAGAGCGGGATTTCTTAGTTTATTTGATTGGAGAGGAGAGAATATTGAAAAATAAAAGTACTTGTGGGAAGCTTGTTGCACTAAAGAAACAAGCATGGATACGCATTACAAGTTTCAATGCTGAGGGATATGGACCTCGGCGATCAGTAGAACAGCTGAAGTGGATGTGTACCCATCAATCAATTTCATTGATGAGTACCACAATTACTTTGCTGAAAGCATGCCTTCTACAAATCCAGGGCAAGATTTGTGCTTCACAAATCCTGTACCAGAGCGAGCCTCCAGCAGAGGCGATGACCCAAATTTACAACCTAGCCCCTCAACCTCCTCCCAGAATAATAAAGAGAAAACATCATTATTTGATGAAAAACGGTATAACCGACCAAACAGGAAAAATATAACCATTGAAGAGGAAGAAAATAATAAATTATTTTGGAGCACACGGCAGCAATTGTTAGATAAACAATTGGAAGAAACAATGATCAACATTCAACTTGCAAATAATCAAAAGTTGCATAAGATTTGGAGATTCAGCTTTTGTCAAAATAAAGATTCAAGTTGAACAAAAGAAGTTAGAAATGATGGAAAAAAATTCTGCACAATACAGTATAGTATAGTATAAAATTACTTTTGTATTGGGTGTTATCTCAATCATCCTTGGTGCTGTTTAAGGGTTAATAATGCAATCAGTTCACAAAAAAAAAAAAACGGTGTAATTCACTACATAACTACAGCTGTATTGTGATTTTCTACCTAACTATACATTATTTTAATTTACATAAAATTTTTTTATCTAAATTAGTTACTACCTAATTATAATTTATTTTAGTACTGTACTAAAGATTATGTATTTAATACCTACCTACAATTTTATTTAGTACTTAAAATTATGTATTTACTACCTAACTATAAATTAATTTACTATTATAAATTAAGTAATTAAAACCTAACTAATTTAATTTAGTAATTAAACTTATTTCCGTATGTACTACAGTAACTAACTCGAATTTAATTTACTTAAAAGTATGTATTTACTACCTAACTATAATTTAAATTAATATTTCATATTAAGGATTTAATACCTAACTATAATTTAATTTAAAAATTAAAATTATTTCTGTATGTACTTCAGTAACTAACTAGAATTTAATTTAGTACTTAATAGTCTGTATTTACTACCTAACTATAATTAAATTTATTTCAAAATAAGTATTTAATACCCAATTATAATTTAATTTATAATTTAAATTTATTTCCGTACGTACTACAGTAACTAAATAGAAATTAATGTTATAATTAAAAGTATGTATTTAATACTGAACTAAAATTTCATTTAGTAATTAAAATTAGTTCTTTAATACCCAACTAAACTTTGCGTACATAAGACATAACTTCTGGGATTTGCTACCTAACTACTGTACCATGATTTGTTAAAAAAAAAAACTAATGGGATATTTCATCAGAAAATTGTGAAAATAGAAAATGTCAGAGTACTGTATAACCTTTTTTTCTATATTTACAATTTCTTTCCGTTCTTTTTTTTTCCGCCCCCCAGGCTCCGTTGTGGGTCGTTGGACCCGTGCCCGGGTGGGCTAATTCCTGTAAAAAAAAAAAAAAAATCCAGTGACGTTTAGTTTGTTTCATCGAAGAAAGATTTAGGCTTGGACAACAGTAGTTATCACATCTTGTCTGGGGGTCACAGAATGGAAGAGGTTGGGAACCACTGATCTAACTGCTTATGTATGTTTGTGTGTCTGTCTTTCTGTGCCTTTCAGTATATCTATCAATTTATCTATCTATTATCTACCAATATCTATCTATGAATACCTGTTTCAGTCAGTTTTATCTATACAGTATTTGTCAGTCTATTTATTAATAAATATTTGTCAGTCTGTCAATCTATGTACTGTATGTCTATCCATATGGCTTACCAATATCTGTCAGTATCTATATAGTATTTCGAGAATGTATATAAAGGTGATTTAAGACTTGCAGCCACAGCGTAATTGACTTTTTAAATATTCTAAATATCTTTATTTATTCCAAAAGTAATTAATTAATACCATTTACCTTAATTATTAAACTGTGAACAGATCCTTAATCAGCATGTAAAGTTATACCTCTGTGTTGTTTTATATTTTCTTTATTTATAAGCCACATTATTTATATAGAGCTTAATAAGTATAAAAAAAATTTTTTTTTCTAAGGTATGAATTTGCTAAGTCGGCATTGTAGGATTTATTGGGGATCCCAAGAGCGAGTTTGAACTAATGGGAAAACCTGTTAATCCGGCACCTCTGAATCCCCGTAGGTGCTGGATAACTGGGATTCTACCTGTCTGTCTGTTTAAACTACAGTACTGTATTAATGTACCACTAATTTAGCTGGGAATATTAAGGCAAAACTGACAAGCACGCAAGATTTACAGTCCCAAGAAAGTTCACGTAAACCAAACTTGCATAAAACAAACAATTTCTGTACTTAATGACTATTAATTTATGGAAATATTTATATCATAAACTGTTGTGCATATTAAATGTTTTTGTTTGTTACAGATGAGTTAACCCTGGGAAATTGAACAGCACCATCACAACTGAAAATGATACTGCAGGCTGAGACAAATAGCTGCCATTCTAGAACTTAATTCCAATGAACACTATAACACCACTACCACAGCACCACCACCACATATGGTAAGGTAAACTAAAGGAGTTATTTGTCTGTCTGTCTTTATGTGCCTTTCAGTATATCTATCAATACCTCGCTCAGTCTGTTTTATCTATTGTATATGTGTCAATTTATTTATCAATACAAGTACTGTATTGGTAAATTTACATTTTCAACCAATATGGCTCTTGAGTTGAGCAATGTCTTTTTCTGATGTTTTAGACCTGGCATGGGCAACCTTTCCTCTGTCATGGGCAACCTTTCCTCAGTCTTGGGCAACCTTTCCTCAGTCATTGGCAACCTCTCCTTAGTCATGGGCAACCTTTCCTTAGTCATGGGCAACCTCTCCTCAGTTATGGGCTGCCTGCATTATGATTTCGGTATTTTTCTGCGGGCCAACCCACCAAAATTTATATCCTACCTAACCCAAAAGTAACGTTAATATTGTACAGTGAACCCTCACTTTACGCGGTTAATTCAACCCACAGGGTACCGCGGAAAGTGAGAAACGCGTAAAGTGAATAACATAACATATGGGATTAAATCAAATAGAGACCGGCTGGCCCCCAAACTCCACTTTTTCCGACACAATACCTATGTTCTAGTAAAAATAACATCTTAATTTTATGATGGTACATGCACACAATTAATACTTAAGAGAAATAGAGAAATACAGTCGCCAAGTTAATGTTCATTCAAATAATGGACTCAACTCCCTCCCCCTCTTCTCACACTACACTTGCTGGCTCTTCCCTCTCTGAGAAATTTTGGGAGGAAAACCACTAGATTTTAGGGTATAGTAATAAATAATACCTCAAACTAAAGTTAGGATAATATAATTGACATTGCTGGATTCTTGTAAGACCAGGAATATTTTGAATATAAATGTCATATATTTTGCACAAAAGATAACATATTTACTCAGAGTAAACATAATATCTAAAATTTGTATGTCTAATGCAAAATCTATTATGTTTATATTCAAAATGATCATCAAATTGTAAGAATTCCAGCAATGTAAATTATATTCTGGCCGGATAATTGGTATGAATTTTATGAGCTAAATAAAAAAATTATACTTCACCTGCGTAAAGGGGTACACGCACCTCGGAATGTGAGCATCCTGGGTTCTGGCAGGGCACCGCGTAAACATGGAAACGCGGAATGTGGGACCGCGTAAAGTGAGGGTTGACTGTATTAGCACGGACAGTGAAGAAAGCAGTTTATCGTTAGGTCCACCTTACGATATTTTCAGTTTACAATAACAGTGTTTTTCCCATTTATGAAACAAATCCACCATAATAAATTTTAAAGTAATATGTTAATGTTTCCTGGCTTTTAACACAAGATGAGTGAAGCAGTCTATGGATACATTGGTTTTTCCTACAGTTACAGCATTTGTCTTACTTATGTGACACACCCACCAGAATAATGTCAATGTTAATCTTGGTATATTAGGAACTACAATGAAACATCTTATAGACACATGTATTTATTTTACAATGCCAAGAAACATTATTATGCATACTTGATAATCACAGGGGTTAGGTTCCAGAAAACTACCGTACATATTGAAACAAATAACTTAGGGGAAAAATTAGTTTCATCCCACAACCCCAAAGATGCATCACCTAACAGACCAAAATATACCCCCAATAATGAGTAGGTACAGTAGAAGATATAATACTAGTATACTGCCAGACTGGGGTCACTAATTCTAAGGGGGAATACTTAACTCTAATCTTAATTTCTAAGGGTCACTGCCACCAGACCCCCTCTGGACAGTAAGTAACTCGTTAGGTAGCGGGCAGAGTGGACTAGGCATTGGGTTAGGTTTTTCATTGACCAGATCGATAAGGTGAAAGAAGGGTGAAACCACAACATGTCTTAGTTCTTTCAATTGTACTTTCTACTTACTTCAGTTCATTTTGGGTACTACCTAACCTCAGTTCTTTTTGGTAGCATGTCGATGGTCTAGGCACATGGGTAGTGTAATTCTGATATCAGGGTCACTTGGACGGAAATAAAGGTAACTACTGTGGAAGAAATGAATACTCCTAAAATACTCAAAGAACAAGTTTATTAATATAAAATCAAAGTACCAGGCTCAACTCCTGGGCTTATTGCAGACTCCGTATTTCTTATTTACTTATTTTCTTATTTATTCAACAGCAATTACCCAGATATTACACTCTTACTGGTGTCACATTACATTACATAGCAGGACCAGTTCCTTGTCCTTACTCTCAATACACTAATACTGATACAAACACCAACATGGGGTAATTATTAACAAACACATACAGCCACACTGTGAAACATAACTCCAAGGGTATAGCACTGGCGCCTCTAACAACTTCTGTTGTGGTCGGTTACACTCCGACACGTGGCGGGTCTGGGGTCCTCGGCCCACGAGGTAGAGTGGAGCCGATTAATCATGCCGAATCAGCGCCATCACTCCTATATTGACAACTGCTGGGTATCCACCGGCTCCGAGTGACCGGTAGGCTTCAATTAAACCCACCCTCGATTTGAGAACGAAGGTGAAAGGTGATACGGGAGGTTTACTCCTCCCGCCTCGCACTGGTTTATATACCCCCGAGTTGCCAGCGATCGCTACTCACGCAAATAATTCGGTAAATCTATTTCAAGTAAATGGAAAATAAGCAAACAAATGTTATTTACCAAGACGCTTCCCTCTGGCTCAGGGTGAGATGTAGGGGTAGATAACAAGGCTATTTATAGCCTGTCTTTGTGTCTGAAGTGGCCAGTACCCTAATGCACCATAAATAATTCATTGAACATTCATTTTTTGTATATATATATATATATATATATATATATATATATATATATATATATATATATATATATATATATATATATATATATATATATATATATACAGAGTTAACCCTCACAAAGATCCATAAAGAAATAAACAAATAAAAAAGATCAAGAGTGAGAAACAATATATGTATGTTATGTTGTCAATAGTAAGAGAAACAATCGAGACCCTGCAATTGTGTGTAAATGAGGCAGAAAGTCAGAACAGCAACCTGGGACTTGGTCACAATTTTTGTGATGTCATATGGCAGCAGGGTCTACCATTAGACAACACATTATGCTTCTAATATCTTCCCAGGCGGTAGTACCTCCCTGTTTAGTAGCTGTCTATATACCTACTACAGGCTAACCTGCAAATCCGTGTCTCGGAATAATGGACTTCTTTAACACTTATTCTACTATATATAAATGATGTGGCTTAGAAATAAAGAATAACAAAAATGAAAAGCATGGGTGTGCACTGTGTATGTGTGGGAAGTGAACAAGTGTGTGTGGAGGTGGTGGGTGGGCTATACCTATGTTTCTGACTCACCCTGCCAGCTGCCTTGTATATTGTTACTTGTAAAGAGTCTATAAAAGTTGTTGAAAAATCATTTAAATAATCAAATGTGGCTTAGAAATAAAGAAAATGTAATATAAAACTATAATATAAGAAAAAATAAGAGCATGGGTGTGTATATGTGAAAAGTGAACGTGTGTGGAGGCAATAAGCTATAACCAAGGCCTTGGATATAACTATATCGCCGACTTGCCAGCTCAGCCGCCTCCTATATTGTTACTTGTAATGAACCTATAAAAGTTAGAAATGAAGAAAATGTAATATAAAACTAAAATACGAAATATGAAAAGCATGGGTGTGTACAGTTTATGTGGGAAGTGATTGTGTGTTCAGGTGGTGGGTTACTGGGCTAGGCCGTGCTCCCTCCCGATGTGATATCACAGCATATACACACAGCCAGTGCAGCAGTCACATGTATCACACTGTGTCGCATAACCCAGAGGATGGTTAGTGAGGAAGGAACTTTTTTTTTTTTTACATAAAATATGTGCTATGTATCGATTTTATTGTTTATCATAGCAAGAAATATGACAGATCATCGCCATTGCGCGTGATATTCAAGCTAACGATTCTAGCTGATTTGGAGGAATTTTCATTTTTATTATTACAGGGTATTTAATTTTCATGCTGGTTAGTTGAATCTGTTGGTTGCCCAGATACTGGATAACTGGGATTCTACGGTATATATACTTCAACATTAATTAAAGAACAGTTTTCTTAATAAAAACTGTAAATGACTAAGAAATATATTGGTCATCAATCTCAAATTTCATTATTTTTACACCCTATCTAAAAACATCCGGAAAAATATATGAATTTTCCTTATAAAAGTTCAGTATTATACATACACTAACATAAAATATACTAATATACCATAAAGTGGGGGTATTTGGGCCCCTCTTGGAAAGATTTTGTTTTTAAGTTCGAAAATGTGTGGCTTATTTTTTCTTCAAATTTTAAAGGCCATTTTAATAGCAGTAAACTGGAATTCCGAAAAAAAAAATCAGGACTTTAAAATAAAACATTTCCAAAAAGGAGCCCAGTTACCCCTGCAGTGGCCCAGTTACCCCACCTTACAGTAATGATAAAACACTGAAAGACAAATACTGTAGTGAAGAAAATGGGTTAGATGGACTGCTTCCCCACTAGATCTGTTGGCACCAAGTATAACATGGTCATATTATAGGGGAAATACATTCAGGAAAGAAATATTTACTTCATTTACTATCACTAATTGGTATCCTAGGATTTTACATGGGTCATTGTTCACTTCCAGGATGTCACATGAGTCACTGTTTGCCACCAGGGTGTCACATGGGTCACTGTTTACCTCTAGGGAGCTACAGTAGAAGTCCAAAAATCCGGGCTGCTTGGGGATTGGGTTGGTCCGGATTTTCGGATTGTCCGGATTCTCAGGCAGTACTTTTAAAATTCAAATTTAAGGAGGAATAAAGAAGAGATGAACAGGTACATTTTGATAGTTTATTCATTTGCAAATATAGCATGCTTCATTTATCAAAACGAGCAGTTTTAATGAAAAAGCTGTGAATTCTAGAATTTTATTCTTTGCCATTTTTATATCATAAATTGTGTACTTTCCAATGTCGTATGTTTCCATTAGAACAGTATTGTTCACACCACGTTCTAGTTTCTTAATTATTTCAAGTTTGTCACTCAATTTCAACGTGTTCTTCTTTCTCTTCACACAACGAAGTTTATCTACTTTAGGAGCCATTATTATGGGCTTGTACAGTACTCTGTAAATGGAAAGAGTAGGACTCAAAATATTGTTATATTATAATGGTATTCTATTCATACTGTGCTTGATATAATGCATTCACGGAAATGTAATATTTTTGCTGAAATGACGTATATATTACAGTGGAAAGTGGGAAAAATCGTGACGAAAACAATGACTTTCGCTTTCTTTCGTTCAAAAGATGTTACCGTGATCGCTTTTCGTATGGTTTTCAGTTAAAAAACTGTTGTATTACAATAATATTCTATCCTAATTGACTTGAATAAATACTACGATACCATATTTCTGAATATTTTCATTAAAATCCATCAAAATCATTTTCCTTTTCATCGTCTGCAGCTTCTCCCAGTCCTCTCCTTGAACAGGGCTAGAGGGTATGTGTTTTTTGAATCGTTTTCAGTTAAAAAATTATTACATCACACGTATATTTTACCCAAACTGCGCCTGAATGAATATATTCTCGGAAATAAATAGTAGTTTTGCTGAAACGTGATGTATTTCAATGTAAAATAGGATAAAATACATGACAAAAACAAAAGACTTTACCTAAGCTTCCGATGTTCTTGAGATGTTACTCGTTTTTTTAATAGTTTTTGTTAAAATTCTGTTATATTACAATGATATTCTACTCATACTGTGCTTGATATAATACATTCACGGAAATGTAATATTTTTGCTGAAATTACGTACGTATTACAGTGGAAAGTGGGATCAAATCGTGACGAAAACAATGACTTTCGCTTTCTTTCATTCAAAAGATGTTACCGTAATCGCTTTTCGAATGGTTTAGTTAAGAAACTGTATTACAATAATATTCCCTCATAAGTGACTTGGATAAATATTTGAATGGAAATATACAATATTTTTGTTGAAACTACCCGCGTTTCAGTGTAAAGTGTCGTAATAATAAATGGTAAACAATTTGCCTTCGGCACTCTTGTTTCAGGCACGGCGAGCCTCGGTTTATAGGACGTAGTGTTTTTACTGAAGGTTTTGTTGTTCCCTTACCCTCAAAAACGTGGGTCGAACTATAAACGAGGAATATCATGAATTAACGATTTCTTGGTCAAAAAATCAGGGTCGACCTATAAACGAGGGGGGTTATAGACGAGTATATACTGTATGTTGTCACAGCTTGATTGCTCGTTTTAAAGTGGCGACCACGAGGTCGCTTGTTGTCGCTGTGCAGCTGTGGTGCTCACGCATGCGCACATACACACAAAAGCCCGCTAAAAAAAAAAAATAGTTTTCGAAAAGTCGGGATTCTCGGGTGGTCCGGATTTCTGGCATCCGGGGAGCCACATGGATCGCTGTTCACCTCTAGGGTGTAACATGGCTCATTGTTTACATAGATGAGGAGAAAGGCACACTATTCACCTCCAGCTGTGGAATGGTGAGCTCCCTCTTCTCTGTCTGACTGTCTGCTTCTTGAACCTGTAACAGGCAACAACGTATATACATACAAATACAGTGTTTCCTCAAGACACAAACCGCTTCAACAATTGCTAATTCTGAATTAATCAAAGTAAACTGCCTGCAAGAAGATGGAAGTAGAGAAAAATTTGCACGACAGTACCCGTAATCACAGTAGAAGTAACTGTACCATCTTCCACTTAACTTTTTACTTTTACTTTAAGCCTCTTAACCACTGATCGCCTTGTTTGCCGCTTGGGTGGTCAGTCACATCTGTTATGCACTGTTAACAAGTACTGGGCATGAAATGGCTCCAGAATGTATCTCTACCTGCACCAGTGATGGTCAAGTCTTGTCTTGAATGAGCGCACACTCGGTGCTGTCTCAATGCTCTCTAGCAGTTTGTTCTAAGAGCGTTGTGACAGCACTTAAAAAGAGTTATTTTACTATCAATCAATCTAGGCCAAAGTAGAATTCATGTAGTTGTTGGTCAGTACTCTAAATGCTTCTCCATAATCAAAATATATAAACAAGATAATGAAAGTAAATATACAGTACTAGAACAAGGTTGCCAGACAGGAACAGCATTGGGTACAGATTTAAAATATTACATTTTAAAAAAAATCAAGAAAGAAATAGCTTTTATGTAAGCAGAAATAATTAAATCTGGATGGTAAATACATTAAAGGAAGTTGGAAAGAATATTTTTGTAAAAGTTAGGGAAGCATTTGTAATATTGGATGAATCATTTGACTGTTAGTTTGTGTCAGGAACTCACACAGTATGGGTAAGGGATGTACTGTAGAATCAAATGAGGTCATTGAACAGTTACTGTATATCTCGGCCTACAAGACGGAATTTGAAGAAAAAAAATCAGCCCAAAGTTAGGGGGTCGTCTTAAGCACCAGAGATAAAATTCTTACCTCTTAAATATTGCAGTTTAGCGTGTCGAGAGTGGTGATGGAAACATGGCAAACCACTCACAAGGTCCTACCACTAATTATTTTATACTGAAACTTACGTTTGGGAGGCTGGATTAAAATGAAGATTACCAGTATATTAAAATAATAAAAACGTATTATAAACCAGTCTAACATACCGTAAAAGAACAATATACCCTGGTAATGAACACAGCTGCTATCATCATCCCCCCCACCCCCATTTGCCAGTGACAAGAAAGGGAAAGTGACCTTGACTGTGACCGCCTGTGGCTATTTTTAGCCGTCCTTGTGTTCGGAGGTGGTCAGTAATGCATATCTGTATATTTACTGATCATAATACTTATCTCCTATAAATAATTAATTTAAATTTTATTTTTTTACAAAGAATATTCAGTAAATGACTGCGTTAATTCTTGAAACTACCGACAGTGGTAAATTTAGGATGAGAATGATTAACAGAAGTCACGTCATGGATTTGGAGTTTGGTCCTTAATGATCACCATAAATTTCTGGTCAACTTCACCTACCAGGTATAATGGTAGCCTCCCTTTTTCGCGAAACAAGTACAGTCAACCCTCACTTTACGTGGTCCCACATTCCGCGTTTCCACGTTTACGCGGTGCCCTGCCAGAACCCAGGATGCTCACATTCCGCGGTGGGTGTACCCCTTTACACGGGTGAAGTATAATTTTTTTATTTAGCTCATAAAATTCATACAAATTATCTGGCCAGAATATAATTTACATTGCTGGAATTCTTACAATTTGATGATCATTTTGAATATAAACATCATAGATTTTGCATTAGACATACAAATTTTAGATATAATGTTTACTCTTGAGTAAATATGTTATCTTTTGTGCAAAATATATGACAATTATATTCAAAATATTCCTGGTCTTACAAGGAATCCAGCAATGTCAATTATATTATCCTAACTTTAGTCTGATTTATTATTTATTACTAAAAAGGTAAACAGAGTCTAGAACTGCTTTTAGTGTCCTTGTGGCCTAGCCGGTAAGCGTTCCCTAGTCACACCCAGTAGGTCGAGGGTTCAATTCCTTGCTGGTGAGGTCGTTGATTATATGTTCAAAGTCCGCGTGTTATATGGACTAAAAATGAAGTATATATATGTACCTCGCGTTTCATACCAGCTGGATTCGGTAAAATGCTACTGACACCACATAAGAGGCACGGGCAGTTTCCCAATGAGGTTCACGGCGCCATCAGCTCGATGAACAGGCTTTGTGTGAAATATAACAGAGTCTAGAACTGCTTTTAGTGTCCTTGTGGCCTAGCCGGTAAGCGTTCCCTAGTCACACCCAGTAGGTCGAGGGTTCGATTCCTTGCTGGTGAGGTCGTTGATTATATGTTCAAAGTCCGCGTGTTATATGGACTAAAAATGAAGTATATATATATATATATATATATATATATATATATATATATATATATATATATATATATATATATATATATATATATATATATATATATATAGTAATCTTTTTCACTCAAATCCTAATGAAACACTATTGAATTAGAATACTGTAGCTGGTTGAAGCAAGCTTATAAATTAAAGAAAATACTTAGTGTGTTTAATATATTACAGTATGTTATAAATAAACAAATAAATCGGTAAATCCATCTCAAGTAAATGAAACAATTGTATTCTACACCGACATTAGTTCAAGTTAAATAACAGACTTTTAAGTGAGTCACTAGTGTTTACACTACACCAACCTGTAACATTTGATGCCATTACTTGAAGTGAATTGGCCTTATTTTAAAAAACCAAGGATGTGTAAACAGCACTGGTCAATGGGATGGTTGGTAAAGGACTACTGGGTCAGTAAGCTCCCAATGGTAAGTGTCACATTTGGGGTACCGGTCTTATACAGCGAATAGGGCCCAAAAGCTACTTTTTAAATGGAAATTTTGGGGGCCGTCTTATACACCCCGTCGCCTTGTAAGCCGAAATATACGGTATTGGTTTTCAAAGAATTGTGAAGCAGATTATGGTCAATATTGACATAGGGCAAGGGGAACTTCAGGACCATTCTGAGGTAGACAGATGAGGCTGAGATAGGAAAGTGCATGGCACTACATTAGTTTTGAGGTCTGAAAGGAAAATTCTATGATTTCCAAGAATAAATTTCATTTTCAAGAAATTCCCTGAGCAACATGAGGATTTTTCTCATAATTATGGTTCTGTATTTCTTGGACAAAAAATATCCTTGGATGTCCAGTTTATATTAAACTGGATTAAGAAATGTCTAAATCAAAGTTATGCAATAAAAAGTATTCAGGTTAAAAGTATTTACACTAAAATAACAAAGGATTAAACATCCATGACTTAATGTTTTTCATTCCTTTATGTAATACAGTACAGTACCTTTATCAGGACAACTCCATTATCGGGTTCCTTCGACTTGAGGCAGCGAACACTCCTCGGGGTCAGAGAACAGGTCGAAGGGGGAGTCACGGACGAGTTCGGACTCTCCAAGTCCCCTTTGATAGACTCCCATCTCTCCACGCCGGACATGTTCTTCTGAGTCCACACGTTCCTCAACCCCGGACTGAAAGGCTCGGATGACACGTATCTGGAACAGTCCGCACAGCTCAATTATACTGAACAAGATTGGCAGGTTAACTGGTGATGAAGGCCACTATTCATTGAGATAGATAAATTTGTTTCTTAGATGGAATTATGACTGGTAGAAAAAAATTCTATTGTTGGGGTTATACATGATCTTACATGTCCAAATGTAGACAGATAAATGTACTGCATATCATCCTTATTGTAGGTACAGAGAAGGCATTCTGTGTGATGAGAACATTTGTATTTTGTTTTTCATATGCTTGGCCTGGACACACATGAGCAGGGCGTCATCCAGTGACCCGACCAAACGTCACAGGTTTCCCCGTTCCCGGTTTCCACCTGTACTAACATTGAATAAATGGTAGAAAAACAAGACAAAAAATATATCAAGTATATAAGCCTCTTTCAGTCCCTGTAAATCCAATTGCCTCTGAAGATGTCTTGAATAAAGACAAAAGCTAAGGTGCTCCAGTGTTTCCCTTTTCTTGTGTGGTTTTATTGAGATTTATCTTGTCCATAATTCCATTATATATATATATATATATATATATATATATATATATATATATATATATATATATATATATATATATATATATATATATATATATATATATATATATATATATATATATATATATATATACAGTGACCCCTCCGTTAACGAACTCAATCCGTTCCAGAAGGTCGTTCATTAACCGAAAAGTTCGTTAACCGAAACCATTGTTTCAATGGGTTTTTGGGTAATTGGTTCCAGCTCACCGAAAATTTCCTAAATTCAACAAAAATGGTAGAAAAGTTCACTTACTTTAAGGTGTGTATGTAGAAGGCTCCTGGATGATGATGATGATGATGATGGGATTTAGAATGGGGGTGGAGGAGAAGGAAAAAGAGAAGGCATTGGGGTGGAAGAGAAGTCACCCCATGGCGCCATTTCACCCATAAAATTTTAGCTCTTGGTGTAATTCAAGATTATTTTCTTTAAATCAATACTGCACTGCATTATATATTGTCAATATGTAAAATATATTTCAAAATGACCAATAATTTGCTTGGAAACACAGAAAAAAAGCGTTTAGTTGAAGAGAGTCTCAAGCAAGATGTTACCTCCAGTGAAAACAGAGAGAGACTAACGCCTGTTTGCTGTGTTAAGAGGCTGAATGCCGCGCATTAAACTAGTCACTTTACCTTCAGTTATGTTCAATAATTGTTAAAATGACTAAAAAATTGAATATTAAACTTTTAAAATTATTGAATAGTATAAACTTCTTGATATTTACTAAAATAGTAAGGAATTTAAGCCCTAGAACCGATTAATGTATTGGCGGACTAATACTACAGCTGGTGGACCGCCAAATGGAAGCAAAAACATGTGGAGGGGAGCTCATTAAAAACTCGTTAATCGAGGGATTACTCGTTAACCGAAGTTAAGAATCTTAAGGAAGGTAATTCGTTAACCGAGGCGCTCATTAACTGAGGGATCACTGTAATAATAATAGTAATAATAATAAAGAAATGCAAAAATGAAAAAAAATCAAGAGTGAGAAACAATATATGTATGTTGTGTTGTCAATAGTAAGAGAAATAATTGAGACCCTGCAAATTGTGTGTACAGTAAATGAGGCAAAAAGTCAGATGAGCAACCTGAGACTTGGTCACAATTTTCGTGATGCCAGCATCTGCCACAGACACATTGTTAGATTTAAATAACCAGTAAACCTGGAAATTTCAACTTTCATATTTTTTCACTTTTCATTTCCTTTGTTTGAATCTGTTTCATAATAAAACTTTATATGCAATGTCACCTCCCTCTTCACCTCCTGCTCTGGTAATCAAAGCTAGACGTCGCATCCTGGATTGAACAGAAAGCCGTGTTTTTCTAAAAAACCCAGTTTTTTGTGCACAATTGGGAAAAACTACTGGGTCTGTTGAATTTTGCCACCATAGTAGTACCTTTGGGAACGTTAAGGAAGAAGCAAATAACTCATCCTGGGTCAAAGTTGCTTCACAGAAACAAAAATATTGCTTCTTCTCTCCCTATTCAGATAAGATTCTTCTTTCATGGTGGACAAATTTTGACAATCTAATTGGTTCATCTCCCTGGGTTCCCCCTCAAACAGACTTGGTCGTTTGTAAGGAAGCGTTAGAGATAGGATGAGGATACCATTCCTCAAAAGGAGAGTTCCGTCAAGGGAAGTGGAGCAACTCCCTTTGAGACAAACACAAACATACCGGGAGTACAAAACAATTGGGCAGATGGTTGTTCCGTCTCAGGCAAGTATCGACGGAAACAGAATGGTCCTTAAAGATATCGAAGTTCAATAGTTTGGGACTCAACAAATACATCTCTTTGCCTCACAAAACAATCACAAGATGCCAACTTATGCATCTCTGGAACGATCGAATCTTTTAGGAAATGCACTTCTCATAGATTCGAACCGCTGGAATTCAATCTATCTGTTCCCACCTGTGAAAATGTTGCCCAAAGTGGTTCAAAAACTCAGATCCTTCCAGGGAAAGGTCCTCTTAATTGCACCATATTGGATCCTACATCCGTGGTGTCTGGTACAGCTAAAATGGAGTACAGTACAGAAGACCCTTCAAATTATTAATAACAAAGCACGTAGTGGACTTGAGGGTAGACTCAACATTTATAATACATTTGTTTCTGATTAATTGTGATAGGATTTTCCTATTATTATTTATTTGTGTGTGTGTGTGTCTACACACACACACCCATGCACACACTAGTATATACAATACAGGTAAAGGAAATTACTGTCTCTAGAACGAATGGCTCCTTGTCCCGGCCGGGAAAGTGCCAGCAACTTTAAATTACCTTAAGCATTCTTGGGTACATCCAGGGTGTCATCCTCGAATAATCGAGGTCCGCGAATTAAAAATCTGCAAATCTGTAGGGCATGCTGTACTACTGTAATGCAGCGAAGCACTAACATCAAGTTGGTTAAAATACAATAAACGATTAGTGCCAATTCAGATTTTCTTCTTTTCAGTTAAAATAATTTGGAGACTTTCGAAATTTAGAGACACAAAACTGATACATTTCCCGTATAACAAACTGATCCATAAATCCTTATAAAGTTAATAATTAGAAGTAAGAACCATATGAATCAGCAGATAAGTTTTATAGTCCAGCAGAGGCCATAACACAAGTAAACATAGACATCATTCAAAAGGAGATACATTTCAAAATTCATTTAGCTCCACAAAGCTTTCCTTAAGCTATTGTGAGTTAATATTTTACGATGGAAAATCGATGAACAGACAGATGGAAAACAATAAAATTTGAACACTGTACACCCTGGACACAGATTCTGGAACATGGTAGCAATATTGGCAGCCCAGTATACACTTAGACATTGCCAAATTATTCAATAATGTAACTCATGAAATGCTGAAACTAAAACAGGAAGGGTACAAAATTAGAGGGGAGGGGGGGGGGGCATCCTTGTTTTTTTAAGACCTTCGAGACTACAAGCAGTGTGTGGTGATTAATGCCATGAATTTGTCATTGTACCCATGAGAAATTGGGTGTCACACGGACTGTTGTTTGTTTGTTTATTTCATATATGATATGCCAGATGCTATGAATAAAACAGAATGTGAAGTGTAAACAGACTTCTGGAATGGTCAAAGGATTGGCTGTTAAGATTCAACATCATGAAATGCATAAGGATACACCAAAGTCATACCAATAGTAAGGAGGTATATCACATGTCCCAACACGATGAATAAACATCATTAACTAAGACCAAATATTAAGAAGATCTGAATATGTATGTAGAAAACACTCTGAGGGTCTGACACCATTGCAAGAAGAACATGTAACCAAGCAAATAATCTCGTAGGATTTACACAAATGTTATTCACATACATAGATGGTCTATCCATCATGATGCTCTTCAAAGGTGAAGTGCTTCCCAATTTAGAGTACATACTGTCATTCCATCTGATCCCCGAGATATTCTAGACACTGTCAGTTGATTGAAAATATCCAAAAGAGGGTCACCAAACTGGTGCCTGTGCTCAGGCACCACAGATACACAGACATTAGAATGCCTGCAACTGCCTAGCTTACATTATATAGATTGGCGAGAGGTGATTTAATAGAAGCTTATAAGCATCTAAGAGGAAATTACTCATAAGTGTTCATACCTAGAACTAGTAGATGCATGCCCCACTAGAGGTAACAGCCTCAGATTCCAGGAGCCATAAGTTCAGAAAACTGTCAGAGCTAACTGTTTTTGGAGCATGGGCTGTGAACTCTTGGAAAAATCTTCCAGGAAGTATTGTGACAGCACTGAGTGTGAATTCGCTTAAGACCAGACTTGACCAACACTTGTATAGGTTCAGATACATTCTGAAGCCAGTGCATGCTCAGTACTTGCCAGCAGTGCATAACGGAGAGGTGACTGACTGTCCAAGTGGTTAACAGGCCGATCAATGGTGTAGAGACTTAAATATAACAATGAAAATGGCTAGTGCATAAAAAAATTTATGATTAATAAGTTTGACATTAATTAATGATGATATTTTAGGGGAAACCAGGGAAATACTATCCACACAGAAGAGGAAAAAGGGATGTGGTGATGATAATAAATACTACTGTCCTGTAATATTATAAACTCACGTAGACAAAAACTTAACAGTTGTAGAGAGTTTAATGAAAGAGAGAGACAAGAGAAATATCACAGAAGACTGGGCATTGCAATAGAGTGTTCCAGTAATTTGTTGTATACAGTGATCCCTCGGTTAACGAGATTTTGGTTAACGATTTACCTTCCATAAGATTCTTAACTTCGGTTAACGAGCAATCCCTCGATTAACGAGTTTTTTACGAGCCGACTTGAACATGTTTTCGCTTGCATTTGGCGGTCCACCAGCTGTAGTATTAGTCCGCCAATACAGTACAGGTTGTACCTCTCTAGTCCGGCAACCTCGGGACCTGACCAGTGCCGGACCATGGAAATTCACCCTTTT